CTGCGGGGGACGCGGGACCCCGCCGGGCACTCGCGGCCTTCCCAGCTCAGCAAGCCTCGGCGCACGCACGGGGATTTCTAGGTGCAGTCACCAACCGCAATCGCGACGGCGCTCCCGGGCGCTCCGAGCAGGCTTTTCTGCCCCTACGAGACAGGCCTGGTTGCAGCCAGTCCAAGTCTGCTTCTGGCGGACCAGAAGAGCCCGGCGGTGCCAGGGACGATCGCGACCGTGCTTTCGAAAGCAAACTGCACACATCTGCTACTGCGGTCCAGTCTAACCGCGCGGCGGACGAGCCCCCGTCTCCCTCTGACAGCGCGTTTCAGCAGTGGCGTTGCCCTATGCAGGGAGTAAAACACAGCGCGGATCTGCTAATTGCATAACCTTGGGGTACAGCAAATCAGCGCCCTTACCGTTATGTAATCACTGAGAACAGAAAGAGGGAGAGGAGAGGGAAGGGAAGGCTCTTGGCATACAAATGTGAGTGCTGGTATTACCACCGTATTCCTCCTGTCGGTTAATTTTGCACTTACTGCAAACCGCAGGGTGAGAAGGAACTGCAATGAGATGTGGCGACACCGCGTTGTCACTGAGGAGGAGTTGTAGCACTTCTCCCTTCTGACCCTCATCACGCCAGAGACAGGCAGTGGTTTTCCCCTTCTGCCTTTTTTTTTTCCAAATGCAGTTTGAAATAGAAAAACAAGAATGACAGAGCCCCACTGATTGCCGCAAGTTGAAGAAAGGCTGGGGGAGAAGCAGCACAGCTGGGAAGGGGTGCCAGCGCCGGGCGCCTCTCCGCGAGCCGGAAGCCTGCTCCGGCGGTGCACCTCGTAATCCTGCTGCTTCTCGTGCGCTGCCAGCGCCACAGAGCCGGTCCTGTCGCGCAGTGCAGATATTTCACAGTAATAAGGCCCCAGAGGGGAATATTTTGGCGAAGGCAGGGGAGGGAGCGGAGTCACATGCGCGGGAGGTTCGGGATGCTGAGCATTACTCTTTGCAGTAGGTCTCTAAACGAGGGGTTCGTCAGTACATCTTGCTTCATGGATTCAGCATGGTGACTGGCTCCACCTGCAACGGGACGCTCGCCTTGCACCACTGCTTCCTCCAGGCTCACACAGGGAAGCATCTGAATGCTCCATCTCAATGAGAAATTCGGCTGAGGGCTGGTATCCCTCTTACACCCCGCCGCAGCTCCACGCTGAGCGCTGCGCCGCCCGAGAGGGGAGCACCCAGTAACTTCCGCACTGGGCACCCTGCCCTTAAACCAGCTCATGTTTGCTGACTTTACATTCAAATAGACGGTAAATGAAACAAGGTGTGATGTGCAAATACCTGAAACCGGAGCTGAATGTCTTGTAATACTCAGTGGCCACTCTCTGTAGAAGTTTTTCACTGCAATGCTGATACCTGCTTTCTGATGGACTAGTGCCTTTGCATTGTTATTTTCCCTGTCAGTAAAGCTTTAAATTTATTCATGAAGCAAGCTGGAGCTCAGGTGGCAAGAGCTAAATCCGTTTAGCAGTAGGAATAAGAGGAAAGCCATTTTAATGTTCTCTTGCAGTGCTGCAGTACTTAGCAAACCCAAAGGATATTAATTACTCAGCATGCTCTGAGATGTAAAAGCATGAATTTATCAAGACAAATACATTCAGAACTAGGGTAAGTCAACAGTAATTAACATGATGCAAAAAAAGTCAGAGAAAGGAAGGATTAGATGGTCCTATCGCATCAGAGCACCATCTAGTTTAGAGTCATCCCTGGGATATCATAAAGTGATTGGAGTTGTTGTAAGGCATCTTTAACAATAAATTTGCCGTCTGTTTGTCAGGTGTATTCCTTGGCTCTGGGTATGTTCCTAGTGTACGTTACCAAGACAGTGGTTCAGGCGGTCTCTGAAAAATTAAGTTGTCTGTTTGGCAGCCAGCCTCAGAATTTTAATATGAAATCTTTGATGTTGGAATGCACTTTCAGAGAAGAGGTGCGTGGGGTTTTTTTGTTTTTTCACTGAATTTGTCTGTGCTGTTCCAATATTTTCATGGTGTTTAGCAAACATATAATCGTGAGCACAGCCACAGATGAGTGGCAGCTAGAGAAATGAATTGGTAGCTCTGCTTGACAAATTTAAGTGTAGCATGTGTTTTTATACCACATCCATTAGGGCAGACAAATGGAAAATCCAGAGATGACTGCTCTGCAATTTAACAGTCTTAGCGTTCTGAGAAAGCTGATGTCTTCGTCAGCACTGATGATGGGTCAGGTTTAGAAAAAAGCAAAAACCCTCTAAAAACTAAAGCAAATTGAGCAAACAAGTCTAGCCATGCTGTATTTAAGGGCAACTTACTTTGCGTGAAGCAAGTAAAACCAATGCTGATTCTTTATCTCCAGGTCATGGGGATGACCTAAATGACTTTAACCTGGAAGATGCTCTGTATGGTCTCACCACCAAACGACGTAAGTCAAATATATTTATACTTTTAAAGAGGAGAAAAACCAGTAGTAATTAAGAGATACAATTATTCTTTGAGATTGTATGCAAATAGAGGGTGGCGGAGGGTTACAGATACCTCATCGTCTCTACCAGGATGGACTCAGTTTCCATACTTGGCACCTGCTGGAATTAGCAATATTCCTGTAGAAGTTGCTTGCATTGGGCTCCTTTGTTTTTTGATTTTGGTTAGCAAATTGCAGAGTTATAGTGTTATTTTGACATGACCACAGCACTGAACACATCTCTGCGGGCTCTTGACTGCTTGCACGCGTAAGTAACATCTAGTAACAAATATTCCCAATTTTGCGTGGAAGTTAATGCATACCACTTTTCTCTTTCAGCTGGTGAGGGCCGGGTTGGGGGTTATTTATGAGATTCATGCACCGAGTCGTGCCTGCCTTGTCCTCACTGCCAGGGTGCAGGACTCCCGCGTTTGCAGAGCCCCGGACGTGCCTGCCTCCCAGGAGCGTCCTCAGAGCCGCCCAGTCTGGCAGCCTTAACAAGTGCTCTGACTCGCCCAGCAGCCTCCCGTTCCCAGTGCCAGCGATCCACTGGGCACAGAAAGAAGTCTGAAGAGGGAAAGCACCTTCCTTTTGCAGATTAAGTTTCTCTCACGCTCCCAAATCCCCTCCGGAGAGGCGCTGAGCCGTCAGGCCCACTGCAACCGGGGGAAAATCAAACAGCATGCTTGGCTGTTGCTTTCGTTTGCTTATTTTCAACTGTAACCTGCCAGTTAAAGGAAACTCATTTCCAAGGGAGATACCTTATTTCTGGCACTCTGATGTTTAATATTTGGCTTTGAAAGATGCAGTTGTATGTAAATCAAGGCCAGGCTGTGTCACAGAGGGAGTAAAGGTGCCTGTTAGAGCTTGGCCCCGGGGCCTGTCTAAGGGCAGGGGTCCTATCAGTTTTACACCACCCTGGTTGCATTAAATTTGGTGGAGCACCAAAAGTGAGATAATCCAACTAACAGTTTTTTACTGCGGATAAGCGCATCAGAGCAGCTGATGGGAGGAGACACTTGCCTCTCCCTCCCTTCAGAGCACTTGCAGCATTTCTCCTCTGAACTCTGACGTCTCCTTTCATAAACTGAGTTCAAAGCTCATCTGCATCTAGTCATTTAACCAGCTTAAATTTCTGGTTGTGGCCATGGAGAGACACTGCAGTGGAGCGGGTTGCATGTCATGTTCATTTTATCAGTGGTATGGTAGGTGCATTTCTTAGTGCTTCAAAACACCAGGCCAAAGCTACAGGCGATGTGCCTAAGTGCCCTGACATTGCCAGGGCTCTGCAGCTTTACCCTGGTGGAGGATTTGGCCCAGCAGGTTGCAGAGTAGGCTCCTTTGTCACTAGTAGGCTTCACAGACCCTTTCTAAAAACACCGGGTTACAGCCAGCCTCTGGCCAAAGCTGTGTCCAGGAGTGAGCACCCGGGGCACCGAGCCTGGAAAACGTCCCACCGCCTGCACTGCCCCAGCAGTCCCACTCACAGCCCCCAGCGACCGTCCCGTCCTGTCTCCCGTGCCTCTGCAGGGTGACACAAGCAAGCCCTCCCCGCACCCTCGTCCTAAAAGCAGTGCCCAGCCCTGCAGAGAGCTCTGCAAAGAGATTCACTTCAGCGAAAGCTATAAGAGGGTTTTGAAACCTCTTGCTTTACAGTCTAACAACAGAGAGATAATTGTGCTACGTTACATTGGAATTTACATGGAATAAAACATCAAGTTTTTCACTTCAGGCCTTCCATGACATGGCGGGTTAAAGACATCCTCATAGTAGGAGGGTGACAGATCATGAGGTGTTAAGACTTGGTCGCTGCTCGATCGGATGCTGACCTAGGATTGCATATTGCAAGTCCTTTGCTTATAGTACACAGGGAGATTGGTCTGAAGTGCATAACTACCACTTCTAAGCATAGAGAAGCTGGAGCTTCTCCAGGCTGGAGTCCTGGCAGCACAGGAGGGGGAAAGGCAATGCTTTCCTCACAGCTTCGCTTGAACGCTATACCCATCTCCAGAGCTGATTATACCAATACCAGAATGAAACCAAATGAAGGATCTGGAGACCAGTCAAATCATAGCAATGCACTGGAAATGAAGCACTCCAGCATTCAGAGACACCGGTGGAAATTAATGAGAGTAGAGTAGCCAGAACTCTTGCTCATAATTTATTCATATACTTGGTAATGCCATCCGCTATTAATAGATAGTGGTTTGCAGGGGAGGGGAGAGGAAAAAAAAAAAAAAAGAGGGCCCCCCAATGGCAGATCATAGCTTGCTTTAGCACAGGAACAGCCACAGGAGCTGGGATCTGAGCATTAGGATGTCACCAAAATTCCTGCCCCTGAGGGGGAACACCCTTTACGTCATGCAGCGCAGGAAATCATTGTACACTTAGATAAGGGACTAGGCAGGGAACAACAAAACATTGACTGCGCAATGTTATTTTATCCACCCTTCTGCACAGCACCCGTCCTGTGCTGTGTACAGCTCTTGTCTGGAGTCTTAATTTGAAGTGGCTTCTCACGGGCCTCTGCCTTCTGCTCAACGCTGGCCCACACAGAGGCAGCATTCGCCCCCAACTACAACTCTGCCCCCACAGACGCTTGCCTTGGCGCGCACAGGGAGACCAGCCCTTGCACCGAGGCTGCGGTGTGCTCAGGGTCACACACCTGTGGCTTTTACAGCTTTGGGCTCCAAGGAGTTTGCAAACACAGAACAAGAAGAG